TAATTAAAAGAGTGGGTCAGAGAATGACTCCGGAAATAAAAAAAACCCGACTCTATCTCTCAAATAGGGCTGTCTATGGGCTGAGAAGATTTATTAAATCTGGGTTTCTTTCTAGAAAAATAAAGTTCTTAGTCTACAAAACTCTTGTCCGTCCAGTCTTGAAATACGCTTCTGAAGCTCGGACAATGACTAAACTGGAGAAAAATTGTAACGCAATGTTTGTGAGAAAGATTTTGCTGAGTATACTTGGTGGTGTAAATGAAAACAATAACTGGAGAAGGAGATTTAACTTTGAACTTTTCAAGATTTATAAACACAACCCGATATTATTAAATACAAAAAAAAATAAATAGAATGAATTGGATGGCCCAGGTGATTTGAATGAGTGATGGCAATACAATAAAAAACATACTGCTTTTTAGACCCACTGGAACAAAAAAAGGGGGGGGGGAGGCCGTGGTTGAGATGGGCTGACTCAGTGGAGTCTGATTTTCTTGCAATTAATGAAAAGAATTGNTTACAAGGGAAACTAGGGAAGAGTGACTCGCCAATTTTGAAATAAACTAGTGGGATGTATCCTTATGAGGAATAATTTTAGGGGGCAACATTCATTTCGGCTCATAGAAGGTCCTATGAGAGATAAAAAATAATTCAATATATAGAAAAATCGGTATTTTATTACTTGTTGTTGTTGTAGTTCATTTACATCGAACTAGAGCTGCACAATGAGCTATTGGTGACGGTCTGGGAAACATCCCTGAGGATGATCCGAAGACATGCCATCACAATTTTGATCCTCTGCAGAGGGGATGACACCCCCGCTTCGGTAGCCCTACGACCTGCACGCGAAGTCGAGCATTTTATTACTTCAATGCAGACTATTAGTTATTGTAATTGTCTAATACTCCAATTAATTTGTAACTATTTATTAATATCCAATTATTTGTAACTGGTTAATTAATTACTTTTCTAATTAATAAATTAATTGACAAATTTATTAATTATTTAATAATTAATTATTAATTAAGTAATTATTAAGTAATTAATACTTAATTATGTATTAATTAATGCTTAATTATGTATTAATTAATTATTAATTAATTAATTTATTTATTTGCAATTGCATACTCCAATTAATTTAGGAAAAAAAAATTTTTTTTTAAATTTTAAGAAGTTTGATGTCAATTTTTTTTTTTTTTTAATTAGCCTAACAGATTTTTCTGAAAAAATACAGATACATAAAATTTTCGAAATCAATTTTGACAATAAATAAGCATTATGTAGTACGTGAAAGTACCACAAAATTAATTGGAATATGAAATAATTACAATGACTAATAGTCTGTATTGAAGTAATAAAATACCGATTTTTCTATATATTGAATTATTTTTTATCTCTCACAGGACCTTCTATGGGCCGAAACGAATGTTGCCCCCTAAAATTATTCCTCATAAGGAATATATCCCACTAGTTTATTTCAAAATTGGCGAGTCACACCTCCCTAGTTTCCCTTGTCAGTGGAGTCTGATTTTCTTGCAATTAATGAAAAGAAATGGAGATCAAGGATAAATCGGAAGTCGTCATGGAGAAATCTTCAGAGGAAGGCATTGGTTCACATTGGGCTGTCTGGCCAACTATGATGATGAATTTAAATTAATTCGGTAGTTAATTCGTCTATAATTTCATAATTTCATCCGCTAAATTTGATAAAATATATTTTTACAAAAATAATATATACCGTCATTTTATCAATTGTTGATTTTCAGATTTCAAAATTTTACGTGTTTCTCCCTACTTGTTACTTTTCTTTACTTAGTAAATTTCTGAATATTAAACTTAAAATGGTGTTAAATTTGGACAAAATTGAAAATCATAACTTACTTTGTTGTCAACTAATCTCGATAAATTATAATCTTAAGTACGTGATAAATGTATTTTAAAAAAAAGTTTTTCCTTTTTTTAATTTAGTAATAATCATTTTTTACATTTTTATTTTAGTTAGTTTATTTTTACTTTCTTGCTGCTTTTCTTTAGTATAATAATAGTAATAATTTATAATATAACGTTAATATACAGTATAATATTTTATATAGTTATAATTTTTAAATTTCTTAAATATAAACAAAATAAAAATTATATAATTGTATTAAATTTTTTTCTAACATATAATAAAAATTTTGAAATATATTTTAAAGCGCCAAGTTTTTACTTTATTTTTAAGCATTGAACTCACATTATTTTCAAATGTTCAAGTTTTAGTGATTAATTAAATCTTTTTTTCACTTAATAAATTAGATGAGCCGAAAAGTAATGTCTTTTTTGTCACTTTAAATTATTAAATATATTTAAATACATAATTATAAAATATATAAACTTTCTTTTTTTTCAATCAATGATCCACTTTATCAGAAACCTATAAAGTCTGCAAAACTTAAATACTGGATTGATAAAAATCAGTTGTATTTTTGAGTAAAATATAAGGAACAGGTATTTTGTGAATAAAATATTTTAAATTTTGCTGAGTAAGAAAAATGAATAACCCTCCACTACTGTGTAATGATAAAATACCAAATTTTTGATTTGAAAAAAAAAGTAATTTTTAAGTTTTAATAAGAGCATTAGTTCATGAACTGGGACTCAAAACGTAATAAAATTTGCGAGATTCGAAACAATCTTTAAGAGTCAAAAAAAAAAATAATAATTGAATAAATAAACTTGGATAACTGATAAAAAATATCTTTTAGATAAAATCAAGATAAGAAGCGATGTGAGGCCCCCTCATGATAATAACAATAAAATAATAATAAAAATGAAAAGTGAACATGATTTAAAGATCATTTGAATTTTCTAATTTATCAGAAGTTTTGGAAACATAATGAAACTTTAGATTTAATATGTTCTAATAAAAAAATATTGCTATCGTTTTTAAGAGATAAAACTTTGGTCCACTGATAAAAATGAAGTCATCGTTCAACTTTCTTCATAACAAATATAATCCTTAAAGAAATAAATGCAATTAACGAGTTATAATATTAATTCATTTAATAACTAACGTTATACTTGAAAAAAAAAATAATAATCTCCCAGAAAATAATTATAATATTTCTACTGCTTTATAGAGATAGTAAACCAAAATGTTGATAAAAACCAACTTCCTAATAAAAATCAAAGAGGAAGGAGGTAAGTACAAATAATAGGTTTAATCCCTACACTTTACAAATTAGAAATTCATTATTAAGAATTATTTTGTACCCAATAAATGTAAAATCCAGCATTTAAGATTAATAATCAATTTATTAATCAAATCTAATGGTATAAAATATTTCTAAATTTCTCAAATAAAAAGTTTCTTTTTTTAAATTTGCTTTATTAAATTTCAAAAAAAAAATTTATTAAAAAATTAATATTAATTTGTGTATATTCATTATCAACATTTATTTTATTTTTTCCTCATTCGAAAATTGTGTAGATTATAAAAATTCTTTATTAAGAAACATTTAATACTATTAAGTAACATACATTATTAAAAATATAATATTTTTTAATTTATATTAATTAAACATATGAAATCAATTACTTTTAGGTATTATAAATCCTAGGCTTTTTTAATTCGCGATTGCAACTCTCGAGCGCGCCATCTGGTGAGAAGACCGGTTCCATGTCTTGACTCTCCTTCCTTCCCTCTCCTCCTCTGCTCAGTTGTATGGGAATGTATTAAGATATTTTTAACTTCTATAATAATTTTGCAATAAAAAAATGCTTTCTAGAATTTCCATGACGTTTTCTTAAAGAAATATGTTTAAGACAGTTTTGAGTTCCATATATTTTCATAACTTAAAAAATTTTAATCTCTTTGGAAATTAATACATCGTTGAAATAAAAAGGTGAAGGATTTTCCCTCCATTTAAATATAACCCTCAGTTCTAAAACTACGAAACTTTGAAAAGAATTGTTGAATTTAAGAAGGAGATTTTTCCGGTCTCTCTTCCCTATCATTTACAGTTCAAGGAAAAAAAATGAAATCTTTTTTTCAAACTAAAAATTTTAACAATGTACATAATACAATGTAATAATAATACACTTATTTAAACTGTGCATGGAATAAGCATTTTATGAGGTATTACAATTTTTACAGCATGTTACATATAACTAACAGGAATTTGTAATCTTTTTTTCTACTTTTTTACAAAATAATCTATCAAAAATATTCTAATTGATATATCAACAAATGAATGCACAAAATTGTTAAGATGAATATTGTATGCACTAAGAGAAATTTTTTTGGACATATGTTAAAATAAAAAAAACCTTAAAAATTTAAAAATTTTGAATTTTTTCAACTTTTTTTAAAATTTAAAAAAAATTAAACAGTTTAATTATTTTTTGAGGATAAATTATTGATTATAAGTTAAATGAGCATGTAAAGCATCCACAAAATGAATGATTATACCTTTATTTAAAAAAAATTGTTGCAAAGGTACTGTGACCCCTTAATAGATCAAATTAAATAAACATTTCAACAAAGTTCAAAATTTGTAGCTACAACGCTATTATATTAAAAAAACAATTGCATCATCACTGAAATAAAAAGTGGATGATTTCTATTCCATTTAAATAACCTCCAGTTACTAAAACTACTGTCCCTTTCCTTTCATTTACAATTCAAAAAGGAAAAAAAGAAGAAGAAAAGAAAAAACGATTCACAAAAGACTTCTTTTTTTCGAAATAAAAATCTCAACTACGTATATTTTAGACATAAGTATAATCCAGCAAATTTCATAACATAAAAGCATCATTTTATTTCGCTTATGCATGGTGATTTAAAGCACTATTTAAGTGTTTTCTAGAAATAAAGTAATGAAAAGATGCGACAATGGAGAACAAAAAACAAAAAAGGTTATAAAACAGAATAAAGCTAGCAGAAAAGTGAAGAAATATGAAAGAATAAATGACAAAACAATGTCTTCTCGAGTGTAAGTAAAGATAAAGAGATATCTTACCTCCCTGGGGAAAGTAAGAGTTGAATATATCTTTAAATGCATTTTCATTAACTACTCCGGTGGGGCACACCTGCAAAGGAACATTCATACATTTTAAAACTAGACTGAAATATGTTCTAAATTTCTATCAGAATAACTTAAATTTTTATACAGTCCCTCTCCATATTATTCGACGCACTATAAGAATCCGATCGTTCCGGATAATCGGTTCCCTACTGTACTAANTTTAAAACTAGACTGAAATATGTTCTAAATTTCTATCAGAATAACTTAAATTTTTATACAGTCCCTCTCCATATTATTCGACGCACTATAAGATTCTATGTAAAACCTTAATTATCAGGTGATACAATACAGCTTTATTGTTTTTACGCGGTTTGCACTTGTTTACGCTTCTGTATCAATGGGTTAACATTGTAATGCAATACGTTAAAAATAAATACAAATGGGAAGTATATAAAAAATCTCCTGTATAAAACTCCATTACATGTGCGTTTAAATACAAAAGTATTGCCTTGAAACTCGTGCAAATCATGTCATTATTAAAAAACTACAATGGATTTAATAATTTGATCTAATTATTATAATATACTAATATAATACCTGATATAATAAGTATTCTATATTTAGATAATATATTTTTTAATTTATTCAATAGTCGAATTTATATTATATATCGTCTCATTTAACCCATTGATACACTAACGTAAACAAGTGCAAACCGGTTTCAGTCACGTGAAAACAATAAAGCTGTCGAGTATCACCTGATATGTAAGATTTTACATAAATCTCATAGTGCGTCTAATAATCTCATAGTGCGTCCGTAGGTNAACTGGCCCTCATGAAATTATTGAAACTACTAAAAAGTCCGAAGACCCTTATTAATTTAAAACCCAAAAATTTATAAAATGGTGCACATTAAAACCAATCGTAAAAAAATGCAAGTATGTAAACTTGCTAGGATAATTAAGATAAGAACACATGATCAAAAACCTTAAATATCTCAGATAAAAACCATGAAAAGATAAAGTTAAAAGTTAAATCTCAAAAGGGAAGCAAAAAGTATGGTAATTGTAAAAGCAGTAGCTAAAACAATTGTAAAAACATACTGTAAAAACTATAAAGGTTAAAAATATACAAGGTTGAAGGTTAAAAGCAATTAAGATCATTAAGAGAATCACCCAAGATGGAAATCGCAGGTTCCGAGATTATGATATGTTGTGGGCCAGGACATCCTCTAATGTTTTTTTTGATGATTTTTTTAATGATGTCTCAGCAGATCAACTTAGTAAAGCAAGTCTATAAAAGATCACCCTGCCACAGTGTCTGAGGCCGTCTGCTGCCATGAACGCCAGAATAGCGCATTTCAAGGAGGGTATTTCTCTTCACTCTAGGGGTACCACAATACACCGAAGAAAAAGATCCATTTCTTCTTGTCGACCCGAGCCAAGACCTGTCCTAAAGAGTGACCCCAAACCCCTACGTGAAATAGTTACGTTACTACGTTATACCTCGTTACCATAGTCCCCGCCAAGGGTATAGACGAATGGCATGGGGAATTCTTACTTTAGACAAACTATACCAGCCACGACGCGATATTAATGTCTGGAGGAGTTCTCCTGAAAGCCGCACTGTAAAAGAACAAAATCCTGTAGATTTGCTTCGATGATGACCATTGACCTGTTGACAGAGAGTTCGTATCTCAAGGCTAATTAGTCAATCAACGATTCCGAAAAAGGGCCGTGTGTGTGAAAGTGAACATCAAGAATAGTTGGGTCCAGCATCATGACAATGCAACCTGTCATACAGCAAAGTCAATAAATGAATTTTTAGCCAGAAAACGCATTCCTCCTCTTTACTCACCCACTTGATTTATTGCGAGTTTTTCCTCTTCGCTAGATTAAAAATTCATCTCAAGGGTCATTTAGGGACACTTCCTAGTGTTCGGAGCACAGCAGGGCTCTGAACTGTAATTGCCTTTATCTGGTACATTCAGAATCTTGTACCAGATAAAGGCAATTACTGTTCAGAGCCCTGCTGTGAGCAACTGCTTCCGACACTTAGGGCAATTATTTTGAAGACTACATAGAATTGTAATCTTTTTCGAGTAAAAAATATTGAAACATCAGTACTTAGTTTGCACATCTCATACTGCCTTGAACGGTTAGACTGCATGACGTACTTAAAGAAATTTTACAGCTGGTTAAATATCGTTCAAATTTGAAACCTTAATATGATGCTACATGGAACCGTAATATAGCTGAAATGTGCAACCTAAATATGATGCTACATGGAACAGTAATATTGCTGAAATGTGCAACCCTAATATGATGCTACGTGGAACCGTAATATTGCTGAAATGTGCAACCTTAATACGATGCTACATGGAACAGTTATATTGCTGAAATGTGCAACCTTAATATGAGGCAAAGTGGAACCATAATATCGTTCAAATTTACAACCTTAATATGCTAAGTGGAACCAGAATATCATTTGAATTTGCAACCTTAATATCATGCTAAGTGGGACCGTAATATCGCTCAAATGTGAATCCTATATGATGCTAAGTTGAACCATTAAATCGCACTTCTGCACGATATCATGGTTCAACTCATACGGAACACTTTACCAAGGTTGCAGCAAATTTACTACCCGTATAGTATCACAATTTAACGTTATTCAACATACCTTTTTGAACAGTTTCGTTATGATTCATAATGGTAGCAAGCTTTTTTTTTAATAATAACCAAAGAAGGTGGGATTCATCAAATTACTTTCTTTCTCTGAAGTAGAGAGCCATTATATAAATACCTAAAACTATAACAGCCATGCAAGTTTGATGCAACCATAAAAAGGTGCTACGTATGGTTTTTATCGTAGTATCGAGTAACCAAGTTTTCGAATGATTTATTGGGCAATAATATGGTTTATCTTGGTTGCAGTTACACGATTCAACACGCTGCAAGAATATATTTTCGACTTGAAAACATAAAATAGGTTACATTATCAACTGAACTCTTTGATATGCGCTGCAATTAATTAAATAATAACAGATAATATTACTTCAAAATAATATATTAAACTAGGAGGCTTTGCCCCCTGCTCGCTGGTGCTCGCCAACCCCCGGAACTGCAGTTCCTTTCGGATTGGTTCGCAATCCGATGCTCTCTTTGCTCGCTCATTGGATACGTTCTTAACGTCTAGCTTTTGTATGTTTTTTGAACACTGAAGTTCCGAAAACTTTTCACTGTACAAAATTTTAAACCTGTGCATTTCAATATTAATTTGAAATTACAAATAGTTCACATATTTTTCTTAATCACACTATTCTAAATTTCAGTTGAGTAAAGTAACTGTTGTAAGTTTTGTTTTAAAGTCTTTCCCACCAGAGGGCTAAAACCATGTGTTGTAAAACAATATGAAATAGTACTGAAGGCCGGATGTAAAGCATCGGCTTCGAAGAAGATAATTTTGCGAGAATTGTTTTGATAATTCGGTGAGAATTCGCCCGATTAGACATATGATGCTCACTACGTGCTCTTGCGCGCCGAAGCCTATCGATTAAAAATGAAAACTGTTGCCAACGTGAGAAAAGAAATATCGGTTTTATTGATACATACGTATTAGTGTTTTATATAATAAAGAAGATATTAAAATTTGAGGTAAGAAAAAGTCTTTTACTCTTAATGGTGCATTTTTAGAATCGTCCGTAATAAGAAATCTGGGCGCGCACTAATGCTTGATGGATTTCATTTTTAATATTTTAATAATTCAGCAAAAGTTTAGAAACAAAGCATGATTACAAATGCAAATGTCATATAAAAACAAATGCTGATTGCAAACTTTACACAGTTGTAAACATTTTAAAAGGTTAACCAATAGATTATATTAATGAAATTTACAAACCCGGTAACTGGTGATAAATAACTAGATATAATAAATAAAATATTGCACCATTTTCCACTTTATAAATTGACGTCATTTCACAGTCAGACAAAGGCAAAATCGATTTACTGTTTATGACAGAGGGGCATTAAAATCTCTCAGCCGAAAATGATTACTCCAAATTACTTATGTTCGGAATCTAGAAGGTTTAATCAAACATTGAGATGTGATTTTAAAACAAGCGTAGCTTGTATACAATTTATTTCGTTTTAAATTCAGTATATAGCTATCTTGAAAACCTTGTTATGTCAAGAAAATATTTTTCCCCTTGTCATTATATATCCACCTAATGCTAATTTGAATTCCTATGTCGAAAAGTTTATCCTCAAAACCTCGTTATGTCGAATTTTTTTAGAAATAGAAAAATAATTTTTCCGGAAAAATTTTAATGAAAGTTCATTGTAAGCCAATTATTTTTATATTTAATGCACATGATTATTTTTGTTTTACTTTTGAAAATAAAACTATAATTGTTGTGTCTAGACTTACAGCCAACTATCATTACATACATATTTATTAGTAATTAATGACAATTTATTAGTATTCATGACTCTACTTTTTAGAGTAATATTTTAGAATATGTTTTTCTACTTTTTAGAACATATTTAGTTCTGAACTTGCTATAACGAAAATTCACTATCCTCGAACTTGTTTTAGCGTCAATTAACGAAAAAATATTTGAGATATCGATAGTATACTTTAATATTTAATGATAAATTATTGAAATTCAACTGAAATTCATTTAGTAATAATCAAAATAAGATTCTGAAGGTAATGATAAAAAGCCAAGAAAGAAAATAAAGACATGTATATTTCAGAAAAAACAGGACATCCCAAGCAATTGGACGGTCTCGGAGGTAATCTAAGAGCATTGAAAACAACTGGATAAAAAGACATAGATGGGGTAATCTGGCATCAAATTCCGAAGAAGACCGAGGCCCATCCTGTGCGGTCCTGGTTATGAGGAAGAAGGGAAATAATATCTTTCCGTGGGAATTTAGGGTGATATTAATTGAACTATTTGAAAATGAAATTATAAAATTATACTCTTTTTGGGAATATTGAAGAGCTAGCCCAAGCCATCCTTGCACTGTTGCGGGCCACTGTCCGAAGACGGGCAAATCT